AAATGCATAACTTCAAAAGCTGCATAGTTGAATACAAGAAACTTTTGAATCCAGCTGGTTAGTTAAACATTAATTTTAAATGGCAAGTGGCCTAAAGATGAGCACTACTAGTATGATGCTAATCCTGGAAACTGTGTAGTCTCAGCATATTTGTCATTTGATAGCTTAAATCAAAAAGATATCATGCACCTGAGTGGTCAGACCATCTCAGATGCGTGACAGAATCCGGGAGAGGCTTCCCCGCAGGTCCACTGTGTATTCTGCTCACTGATCAAGTTGTTCCCTGGCTGCCCTCTGCATAGTCAGCCCCAATCAAACAAAGAATCACAAATGTCGAATTCACACTCTCCACTGTGTTTGGCAGTAAGAGGAGGTTGAATACGATTAACTTAGCAACTTAGAGAATCCATTGATCGTAACAGAAAGAGGCACCAACTATTGCCACTGAAATCAGAGGGAAACATTACTGTGTGTTTATTTTTCATTTCCAGTGGTCTGATACTAAATCCACCTGCACAAGTTAGGATACATAAGAACACACTAGGGTTCTTTATTGCTGAAACACCAAAGGAAGTCAAAAGGTAATTTTTTTATTACTTTATGGGGGAAAAGCACTAAAGGCCCACTGAGTCAGCACCATGCCTCCTTTGTGTTAAGACTCACATAAGTCATTCTTGGTTTTCTTTCATTGTCCAGAGCCTTCTTTTACTGTTCGGTCTGTCACGATGATGTGTTTATTCCTGAGCTAATTACAAACTGTGGCTGCAAAAGCAGAAGCCGGCAGCACGTCACAGGTAATTGCACTTTATTTCTGGCCGTCCTTAGCCCAGCCTCTAGGGAGCTGCCTGAGGAAAGAGAAGAGGGTTCCATCTCTTAAAAGGCAATGTCCATTTGAACTTGGCCAGGAAGTGGCAGACATTTCCTCACTGGCCACATGAGAGGTGAGAATCAGTGTTTTAGAGCTGGAAGAAACCTAACTAGTTATCTAATTCAATTCCTTTAAAGGCAGGCAAATGTGTTTTAAGAGATCCAGTCACTTTATTCCAAAGTCACATAGCCAGTTAGTGGCATCTCCAAACTCAATCCCAGGTGTGCTGACTTTCAGCCCATTGCTTTTTCATGATTTCACAGTTTTTCACAAGTTCAGACTGAAAATTCAGCCTATATCTGATCACTTGGTTGGCCATGAGGATCTACTTCATGACCATGCCTTGAGTACTCTGTTTCCTTAATGGATAGTAAGAAGTTTAAAGTTTACTCATCCTGACATGGTGCCGAGGGAATGTAATTTTCTCTATTTTCTCTAACTGAACTCAGCAGTTTACCAACACCCTTTTCCATTTAATGGCAGAAATGGAAAAATTAATCTCGAGCATTCATGATCACTTAGTCCCTTCTGGTTTAAAATTTAGTCTTGGCCGGGCACGGTGGCTCACGCCTGTAAACCCAGCACTTTGGGAGGCCAAGGGGGATGGATCACAAGGTCAGGAATTCAAGACCAGCCTGGCCAAGATGGTGAAACCCCGTTTCTACTAAAAATACAAACATTAGCTGGGTGTGACAGTGTGCACCTGTAATCCCAGCTACTTGGGAGGCTGAGGCAGAGAATTGCTTGAGCCCGGTAGGCGGAGGTTGCAGTGAGCTGAGATCATACCACTGCACTCCAGCCTGGGTGGCAGAGCGAAAAAAAAAAAAAAAAACTTAGCTTCGTCCAGGTACATTCAGACTCTTTGTGTAAAACCCCAGTGTTTCAGAATTTAAACTTAGTCCATTCAAAATATGAATTTTCTATCAGGACTATTTTCATCCCTAAGGTTCTTATTCTCTCCTTCTTCTCAGAAAGCTATTTAAATGCAAGA